AAAGTAAAAATTATAACTGGTAGCCTCATGCAGGAAAAAAAATACAAAATTTAAGTAATAGTGTGTGTTAGAAAACGTTTAAATAAAGATGTCGTCCGGTCACCAGTTTATGCACTAAAAGAAAAATAAGGAAACGGAATCTCCTATTCTTTAGATGTTTCAATGAAATCTTACAGCAGCACATGTTCTACTCAATTTAGTCAGTGATCTCAGAGGATTCAGAAATATAATCATGGAAAGAGTGCTGTTCCAGAATGAAGCCCCGACAAGCAGTGAAAAGAAAACAAATGGATTACAACACGCATACTAAAGAGGGGAAAGAATGTTAGAGAAATTCCCCGAAGAAGCTGGTGCTAAAGGAATAGATTTTCATCTCTTTTTGTAGCTCCTTTGTTGTTGTTGTTGTTTTAATTTCCAAATACCATGTTCAGTTTTTTAAAATTTAGAAGGGATAAAATCAAATAGAATTGTTTGCCAATTTACTCCAGGAGAGCTTAGAATTTTGAGAGAACAACAAACCATAGTATGGTGGGGCTTAAGGTTGATTTATTAAGAGGTTCAAAATATAGCAATCTAAAAGGAGAGGTGGGAACAAACAGCAGGTTATGTGAGTAATTCTTTGTAAGTAGCAGGAATTTCTAATGGAAAAACAATTTAATTAACATAAAAGCACTGAACAATTAGTGGTTCTTATCTGGCATAGGACCCTGAAACTCAATTGTCACTAGTCATTGTGTTAAGGTTAAATTTTTAAAACTTTGGAAACTGTAATTTGAAAAAAAAAAACTTAGAGAAAAAAGGAAAAAGTATAGTGTATAATCAAAAATAGAATTACTAGCAGGAGTTTACTTGACTACATTCTATGGAGAGGAATGCAGTTAAACGTCAGTATTTGCCTAAGGTGACCAGATTTAAAGTGGGATACTATTGACCTGGGGTGGGGGCGTGTTCTTGATTAAAAATTTTATCTATATGGATCAAATTGACCGTTCCCTAGCTTGTCGTACATTCTTTCAAAAAATTGGGACTTTTTTAAAACGCCAAAAATCGGGACTGTCCCGCCAAAAGTGGGACGTCTGGTCACTTTATATTTGCCACATTTGAACACCAAGTGAGGTTTAGAAAAGTAGAAAGCCAGGCCACATTTTCATCACTGTTAGCCACAGCAGAATCACAGCTTTGATGCCCGCCAAATGATGTTGACGTCTCTCGGGAAGGCTGGGAAATGTGTGTGGGGCACAGTTCATTTTGAGAGTTGGTGTTTGGGATGATAATTGTATCAAGCTCGGAAAATTGTCTACTAACTTACATGCCTTATTCTTTCCCTTTGCACTCTTTGAGAGTCAATCTGAGGACTCTGAGAATTTCCCTTATAATTATGGTTTAGTAATACAAACTGGTAACAAGACACAGGAACCCTAGTGGCACAGGGCTAAAGCACTCAGCTGCTTAGTGACAGTCTGCTTCCATAAAGATCATAGCCAGGGAAACACTGGAAACCCTATGGGCAGTCCTCTCTGCCCTATAGGGTTGTTATGGCTCGGAATCTACTCAGGATGGCAGTAGTTTGGGTCTTTTTTCTTTGGTGGCAAGACCAAATAGAAAGGATGCGTATGAAAAATAGGTATGTGTTCCCAAAACTTTTCATGAAAGGAAAACAGAGTTGGCATCAACAGATTATCATATCAAAACCCAAACCCACAGCCATCGAGTCCGTTCTGACTCAGAATGGCCCTAGAGAGTATTTCAGATACTGTAAATCTATACAGGAGCAGACAGGCTGATGGGTTTGAACTGCTGACCTTGTGGTAAGCAGCCTGCTGCCTAGCCCACAGCACCACCAGGACTCCTGCTCTATCATATAGACCATTGGAAAACCAATAAAAACCAGTTGCCAGCCAGTCAATTCCAACTCATGAAGCCCTCATGTACATCAGAATAGAACTGTGTTCTGTAGAGTTTTTCATGGTTGATTTTTCTTCAAAAGCACATTACCAAGAGGGCACTTTAACTCCCAAAACTTTTGGTTATCAGTCAAGCAAGTTAACCATTGCACCCTATAGGGTTCTATCACACTTTGTGTGTCAGGTAAAGATTTGAGTCATCCTTCTAAAAAGATCAGGTAGTTGCTGACAGTGCTGTGTGATGTGCCTGTACCTCTCAGATGATTTATTGAAAATAATCAAATACTTGAAAGCATAAAGCCTGAAGATAGATGCACTTTGGAGTTCTTCCATGTGTTGTATATAGCCAAGAGACCTGGACTGACATCCTTGTAGGCAGCTTGACATGTGCTGCTTGTGCAAGATAACATGGCCACAATAGAGGTTAGCAAATACATCAGCACTCAGAAACAGAACTAGAGAATGGCATCTGGATGCCATTGCCACACACAACCCAGAAAAACAGACAAAACCATGACAACCACCACTGAAGCACTTTCAAAGCCTGTCTGCCTCGTGATCACATTGTGGGCAACATTGCAAAGAATTGTCCACTAGGGATAATTCTGGCTTCATTCTCAGCATCCCCCAATGCCAACACCTTTTTGGAAACAGGGCATGTACAGACTCTTCTCAGCCTTCTTCAAGCTTGCTTCCCCAATCCCTGCTATTTACATAAGGTTCAGAAAGAGAGCTTCTTGTGAAAATGAGAACCACTTGTCTGAGGACAACAGAAATGGGGGTGTAAAATTCTTAAGCCATGGGGTTTCATTTGTTGTTGTTGTTTACAACTAAAAAGCAACTCTTTTTGAACGAAAAATCAATTCTGTAGTTAAGTTTCCTTTGCTATTTGCCATCATCATTTTTACATAATCCCCATGCTTGGATTAGGAACAATGAAGTTGGGTTTTTTTTAGCTAATTAATATGCATTTTCCTAATGATGGTTTCCCCTTCTGCTGATTATACAAAATTCATGCCTTGTGCTTTTTAAATAAATGTACACTCAATGAAGTCATCTGTTTTTCCAGAAAATTCCTTAAGCCTAAGTGTTGCTTTATTTTTAAAATAGGAACTAAAGGTCAATGTGAGCGCCGGTACCCAGAGCTTTTCTCTAAAGTTAGCACTGAAATGGTGTAAGAATATTGAAAGTTTGAAATGTCATAATGATTGCACATCAGGAATGGTTGGCACACATACGAGGGCTACCCAACAAAAACAAGACATTTTTTCAAAGCTATGTATTTAAATATTTTTACAAAACAACCTTATCACCTTCAAAGTACTCTCCATTACACTTAATACGTTTGTCAAAAATGTGATTCCATTCTTGGAAACACTTTTAAACTCATCTATTTGCATGACTGATAGCACCTCCCTCATTTTTTATTTCTTCCCCTCTTCTATGTAATCAAATTGCTGTCCTTTCATGTCCCTCTTCATCCACAGATACAAAAAGAAGTCACACAGAGTGAGGTCAGGTGAGTAAGGTGTGGGTGGCAAGAAAGGTATGATGCTTTTTGCCCAAAGCTGGCTCATTGAAATGGCTGTGTGAGCAGGTGCATTGCTGGCAAAACCAGTACCCTGTCTGCCACAAATCAGATTCTGAAAGCTTGATTAACAGTCTGACCAGGTGGAACGAACTCCAAATGCACTATCCCCCTCACATAAAAAAGCAAATGAGCATTGGTTTAGGGGGGTTACCCCTCTTATATTTACCAGTGGTCTGAAGGAATCTGAATTAGATGTGGTGACTGCAGTAGTTACATAATCTGTTGTCAATCTGAGACTTAAGAGTGAACAGGTGGCGTTTTGCCTGTCAATCAGGTCGCAGCTTGATGACCTCATTTGGAGGTGCTAAGGAGATAAATAGCTCACTGGAGGCAGGA